GGCCAGGTAGAGTAAGCTGTGCGTCTCACTTCTCAATATTTGAAGATGGGTCGGTAGATTTACTACTTCTTGGAAAGTCAGATCTCAAATAAACCTCATCCGATGAATTAATAATACGCTTTGCAATGATTATAATAATATTATGTATACGTACTATTACGATAATTATTGCGAAGAGGAAAATAGCATGAAATGTGTAACCAGCAGTCCTTCACACTCAACTTGCGCGTCCTTTGGAGGAGAAAGTTGTAGACATGCAACGATATCGGTGGGAACTCCTTGAAACTAAACGCATTTAGGCAATAATGCAACGCAAAATGTCGCACCTCATGAATGTTGCGCCTGCGATTCGATCACCCTCCATAACAGTCCTTCGACCCACCGAACCAATTAATCGCCGTTTGTCGAACTACCTCGCTGTTGCAGTTACTAAAGTAGGGGTTTCGGTCAATGGAATCTGTACGTGCCAGTAAGCAAAAAGTAGACCTACCGTTGAGGATGCTTAACAACGGAAAGGCAAGGAACGACCGCTCTTCCTTGGATCCGTCCCTCCGGTAGAAGGCGTAACGATGCAGCGGACCGATTAGGACATCCATGAGATTTCTGGTGAAGGCTTTCTCATCCCGCCCCCCACTACGGTCAGCTGTTTAATCCGAAAGTCGTTAAATAAATACAAACACAGTGACTTGTCTGCCAACCCCGTCTCATTAATTCACCGACGAACGAAATCTTCATATTCCTCGATTTTATTCCACCAAAATGAAGTTGAATGTGCATCTCAGGAACGGCCGCTGCTGACAGACTGAGCAGATGACCCAGCAAACCGCGCTCAGGACCTAAATGGACATAGCTGCCCTTGTTCAGGGGCTTGCTAATGCAGGTCCGAGGCGTCTGCAATAGCATCCTTAGGTCCTTGGACGCCTCTGGGTGGCAGGGCCGGACGCATCTGAAGCAAATTCTTTGTTGTGGATAATGACATTTGGACCTCTTAACAGAATTCCTGTAAATCCGCCAGAAAGCACTTGCCTGCGACCACGTTCTCACTTATGTGTATGGGTTCTAAACTTTTTCGTATGCAATACAGTAAGTTGCCTACCTGTGTAAACTTCCAAGACTAGTTCGGGCATGTTTAATTCCCCCGACGACGTAGAGGGAAAGGAGGGATCCCACATCCGCGCGTAATACACCGTCTTTTGACGCACAATCCGCTTGTAAATTGTGCTCCAATGAAAACCGTAATACTTGGATTCATGATTGCTTTCGTTGATGGATAAAAGCAGCATACAAGAAGTCTAACAGCATTTTAAACACTCTCAGTGAGATTACAGTTGCTATTGAGTTAATGTACCTATTTCAAAGTTGCAGAGCACAGAATATATTATGAATGGCGTTACTATGACCATAAAGGCGCGACAGACATGGAGTCGACGTGGGACTACGTACCGCTTTGTCACGAGCGTCCGGGTAATAATGAGACTGCAGTAATCTCGTCCGGTTGAGCAGCAGGCGAATGTCACCCAAAGGGCTTAAACCTAAACGTACTAATCGGTTCGTCCAGGCAAACTATCTTCGCCCCACATCACTTGGTGGGTGAATAAACGTATATTTATGTGAATGCGGAACAGCTAAATGCAAAAAATATCGTTTAGGCGGCTGAAATGCCCCTCTAAATTTCTCCAAATATGGCGTGACCATGGCTATGGCCACGTCCACCCACGCTTGGCCACACCCACAAGGCGTGGCCTTGTGTTGGCAGGGTTGTATGCCGTACTCCAAGTGCGACCATGCGGATGTTCCAAAAGTCTTTGGGAAATCGTCTACGTCAAAATCCATAAACTCACGCTTGATAGCGTTCAGTACAGACATTGCGCTTTTTGCCACTCTCGAACAGGGAGCGGACGGTTTTAAGGAGTTTGTGATCGGCACATCGAAGTCTTTTTGGGCTTCGAAGTCTCATTAGACTGCACCGCCCAGAAAGTAGTTTGTTGTGCTGGTGGTTCTGGCTGTGTTGCCTAGGCGAATTATGCTACACTTACCAACGTTGAAACGCAGGAGTCAACGGTTTGACCACTCTTCCAACCGATTAATGTCCATCTGCATTCTGTCTTCCTCGGTGGGGCCCCGACTCTAGACTTGAAGAGACTCTCAACCGAGAATCTCAACTAAACACTCTACAGCTCTTTAGCTAACCAAGTCTTCTGTAACACCGTTAGAAGTGGACGACAAAAGCTGCGCGCATGAGCCGATATTACCCATCTTTCCCTTACGAGTAATGTTGTTGATGGGGCCGATGCGCTCTGTAGATACAGTCTTTTAGGCAGCGCCTGACGTTTGCTACCCAATATCTCAGCCTCACTGCCACGTGGTGGTGGTGGTGTAGAGACATTTCCACATGCGATGCTGCTTATGTTCGCGGGTTCAGACTCAATCGGCGACGAACGCCGTACAATCTCCCAGACTCGCATGGGACACAAGTTCTACTTCCATCATTAACAGCATTATTTGCTTAATGAACTCTCAAATTTGGATTGAAATACCCTGTATATAACTAAAAAATTTAAATATTTAATGTCAAAAAGTCAGCAGGACTTCTCCTGATGGTTAACGCGTCATGTCGGGTTCCGAAGCTCTCCTTCACCTACTAAGTTTGCATGTCTTGCAAGGTGAGCGTGTCGGCACGACGTATGGTTTTTCGAAATATAATCAAAAGCCTGAGACAAAATTAGAATAGAAAAAATGTAAAAAAGCCAGTTCCACCTATTTGGGCGAGTGACTATCTGTTTTTTCTTCTTCTTTTTGATGATGCTGCTTCGTTGGTACGTCTCCCTTACCTAAATTTTATTGCAGTTTTCTACTACAACATTCGTGCTATTCCTTGTCCATTTTACTGTTAGTGAGTATCCTCCAGTCTTCGGTTCCGCCGTTTCTCGGCGTTCCCTTACGTCAAGCCCCTTTCCAAGGTCTTTACTGAGCTGCGCTTGTTTTCTGCCCTTTACAGTTTATTTCACGATATCTACCCTGAACGTCGAAAACAGCCGAACAAGAATCGCGGCCCCTTAATCTCGACTAAGACCGTTTACCGCTGACATTTGGAGGAACAGGTCCAAATTGGAGTCACCTACGCGGTGTGCTACCCTATACGCCTCTCTGACAAAGGGGCACCCATATACTTGCGGCACCTGAACAGTCCATGAGAACGTCTACACAGGTTCTTTCAAAGCACTAACCAGTCACAAAATACAGTGTTCGTTTCGAGGCGGCGGTTTCCAATTTTATTCTTATGGACGGGGGCAGGAAGTCCCGACGGCGCAAGGAAGTGGACTATTCGGCGCTTTTGTCGATTACGGATGATGACGATTTCTTTCCCCAAGATTCCCCTCCGTACAAGAAATTGGCCGTCTCTTCAGGCCGGACAGCAAAGTCTGACCAGGAGCACACAGTTAGGGGAAGCCGGAAAAGTAGTAAAGCCAAAAAGCCAGAATCAGTGGGCTGTAAACCGGGATCGATATTGACCTCTGGAGTCCCGGTCGTTGTCTCGAACCACCCAGGACCTCACGTCCTGTCCACGCCCCAACCCCCGTCAAATATTCAAACTAGTACCTCCTCTATATCGGCAAAGACTCTCCCAGTCGCTCGCTACTCATCTGTGCCTAGCACCCCTGTAAATGCAAGATCAGTCGCCCTCTGCATCACACCCACCAGCGGACTACGTCTGGGGCTCTCCCGTAGAGGAGCATTAAAACCCTTGCATACAAACATTCGCCTGGCACAGTGAAGCAATGTTTACGTGTCTGTCATTCCTTATATTCTTGATTGACCTGATTTCGGTCAATTATCTGTAGATAAGTAAGGCTATGTCACAACTAGTGAATATAACAGGAGTACAAGACTTCGGACCGCGGTCTTCATGCTCGCACAGCAAGGTAAATGCAAGAAACAAAGAGACTGTTTCCCTCGTCATATCTCGAATGCAGGGAGGTACGGCACTCATGATTCTTTAAAACTGGGACTAGACTCGTAAGACAAATCAGGAGGATCCATTTTGCGCAGAACTACGAGCGAACTCCGCACCAAGACTACATATCAGTGGGCATGGTTACCGTCGCTGTAGCCGACACTCGATCGCTCCGGGGGCCTTTACGGGCCTACTCGGTCTTCAAACAACCTATTGGGCTCATTTGAAAAAAAGCTACGCATGTCGAGGGGCGTAGGCATTTTTAGCACCCAGATATAACAAGGAGCAGGAATGTACGGGGGTGGGCTTCCGAAGGTCGCCCGTTTGCTGGTCAAGGTTGTGTTATCCATCAACCCCTTTTGTTGAGACCCAGACAACGCGGCAGCAGCAAATTCACTCAGTTTCTTCGCAGTCTTAAAACAGTGACGTAACCCGACATCGTGGATGGTGCGTCCACCCATCCTCTGCATGCGGGCCCACGAACACTTAACCACACAAGAGTACCCATTTAGCGGGTAACCCTCCAAAGGGTGCTTCATTGCATGGAGGTACGCCGCGCAAACAACCCCGGAACCAATACGCCATTCCAATTTGCTTCTTCGTTCGAGATAGACGACAAATATGTCCAGGCAGGCAGCACATGCTTTTGGCTTAAGGCGGCTGGCTGCAATGAATGACAAAGATATGGCCGCGCAGGAGCAAACCATGTGCACTAATTGTTTAGTCCCCAGCTTGCGCTCTCATAGCGCACAGCATCCTTCACAAGGCTGATGGGTTTGAACTGACTTTGGTGACAAGGCCTTATCGTGGCAAGATGTGGTATACAATGCCTGGTATGAAACATACACCTGGAAAACTGGTGATCCTTATTGAGTCTAGGCGAGTTTGACCGATGTCGACAGGGCCGCGCAAAGACTAAGTGGCGGTGGTAGTGGTGACGGCCAACGTACTGGTTAGGAAACTACTGAAGCATGCTTTCAGAGTTCACAACTTGCCTAGTCCCAAACATCGGAGAATCTGTCAAGCAAAAGTATAGTAGACACATCTATTCGGGTTTTTGTGCAATGGCTTGAATGAAGATACGCTTGATACAGAGACCAATGGCGCGGTTCTCCGTTTTTCTGTGTATATAAGAGCACTTAAGCACGGTCAGCCCAGCGTTAGACAGCATAGAGGTCAACTCCTCAACAGAGAAGAAGTAGGTGAAAGTACCATCCTGACGGTGGTAGGAGGGCTTGTCTTCCAGAAGACGACTCCCACGTCCGAATCGCAGTTGCGAGTGGTCGTGGAGTCCGTAGTCACGCAGTAGTAATTTTCCACCGGGTCGCAGGACGCTTAAAGGAAAAATGTTCGAGGTATATGAATATAGCTCAAGCAGTAAAAGGTTTGTAAAGCCGTAAAAAGCGTCAATAAGGTTTTACGGGGGTCAAGGGCAGCTATGATCACGTGGAAAACCTCTCCCAAAATGCGCCTGCTTGAAACTTCACGTAAAAACTGCGTGGAATGTAACTGCCACATGACATCATCTTCCAGCAGACTGCCAGACCGTTCTTAACTGGTTAGTAGTTTGAGATTTTCCTCATGGAGGCGTCCCGTGACCGATTACACCAGTTCTCTTATGGTCTTATTTTCCCCACAAGACTCAATTGTGGCAATCGACACAAAGCTCTACTACTATCTCCAGGGACAGTGAGAAGCCAAGCTTGCGATCCTTACAGTCCGTACTGCTAACTGGTGCCGTCAAAAGCGCAGTGAAGTACACAAAATGAGGTCAGACAGGTCTTACCGGATCGCTACTGAGCACTCTGGCGAACCATCAATGAATTCCTAACAAACTGCCGATCAGGCATTCAAGTATACAATTAGTCAGTGCATATTTCGCCGTGGTCGCCGACCAGCTATCTAGCCTTCTGCTATGCAGATTACTTAGACGGGTACCATAATGGTGTGGAGCAACGCACTCTGCAATATTCTGCAGACAGATGTGCATGGCATCCGGGTTAATGGCTGAGAGAACGAAGATGAGAGTAGCCAAATCAAAGCCTGGATTGAACAGGGAGGGTCGGTCGAGGAGGGTGGGTTTCGGTGCGTCAGCAAGTGCCCCCAAGAGTGCACCCTCGACGGAGATGTCACATACGAAAGCCGACGCGTAGTCCTCTGAAAAGAGGGGGTGCTGCCTGACCATGATCACAGCCTTGGGAGAGATGTCGCAGGCATAGATTATGACTGACTTTGAACCTATGTGAAGGATAAAAAGACATAGGCAGAAACTACAATACATTAAATGAATGCGATTATTGGTGGGTAGAATTGGTAATCGGGGACGACAAAAGAGCAGTGGCATGGTTAATAAAACTACGCTATAGGAAACAAGGGAAAAACGCACTTTTGTAAAAAAAGGTAAACTTAGACCCAATTAGGATGTAATTTGATATGCCGTCTAACACGACCTCGTCAGCACAGTATGGGACGGACTTAATGAGTCATATCCTACCGGATAAGAAAAGAAGCAGACCAAAGGTTATTAAGCAACAACACCTTTGAGAGGCCCTGTAGTGGGTTGGACCGTTGAGTCGGATTGCGATCCCGAGTTGGTATTTTCTAGAAGGGGGAAAATAAAATTGCCGACACCACACCCGACCTCCAAAATCATCATTTGACCCGAGCCGGATTCTACGAATTTAGTTAACTCAGCAAATTCGCGTGTCGTCCAGTGTCGATCCTAAGGAAATAGAGAAAAAGCGACAATTACAGTTGAGCAAACAAACAAGTTTTCGACTGAGAAGGGGTGCAGAAGTGTCAAAAGAAAAAAGATAGAAGTGGGCGGCTTGGTGTAGACTACTAGTTAAGTCCAGGTCTGATTTAAGGTTCGGAAATTAAAGTGGTTTGATAAGCAACGACAGCATTGGTCCGAGAGGCACGGTGATTTCTAACCAGAGCACTTTGGCCCTGAATGTGCGCTCGCAGGCATAGATTGGTGTTTGCGATGATGCTTCGCATGATATCAATGTTGTTGGTAATGCCATGCGATATGCGAGGATATCATGTAATATCGATGAGGATCCTCAACGTGCGCTGGAAATTAGAACATCTGATAAGGGTTTGTCCGTTGACAAGTTCTTAATCGACAGTAAAGTCCGGGGTACCTGATACCTCACCCCCGTCTCCTACATTCGTTGGCCTTGGGGATTGCTGCAAAATTCTGTACTGCAGTCCGACATGCCTGCCGACCCCGCACATGATCAACCGGACGAGTTCGAGACACCTGGGTGGGGCTTTTAATGTGTCCTCAGGGCATTTTTGTCTCTTGGAAATAATACTGCTGAAGTCTTCTCGGCAGGCGCTCATCAGAAATTCTTACAAAGCAACTGCCCCACCGAAGTCGTACATGCTTCAGCACCAGAACTCAAGTGACCGGAATCCGTCCTTGCAGCTTCACTTTTATTATCCTCCGACGACAGCCTAGGCAGGAATGGTTAAGCGCCCGCGTTGTACGGAAATGTTCTGAAGACAGCAATCATAAAGGCGAAGACCTTGCTGCGGACTGAAATCTCGTTCGCGGTACTTGCGATGGTATTTCCAAGATGGCGAGAATTTATTTGCCAGGATGAGATGATCGTCGTTGACAATGGTGGTGAACACGACATATCTTTTGTCGGTAGCCGGTTCATGCATTACAACTGTTCCTCTGTAAGGAAGACGGGCATTGATCAAGCACCGGACCAATCGTTTATTTTTCTCAGCCTTCGAACTCGTACAGAACGATGGACTGCACGAGTTCGAAAGCTCGGGAAAATTAATAATTCCGGTGCTCTATCAGTATCCTTTCTTACTTACACATACACCCGGAACTCAAACATTCGCCTCTACTCATGTGCCCTCTAAGTTCGTGTTTAATCCGAAGTTGGCGCATCAGAAAAACGTTCCGGTTTTTCCTTATGACAGCTTCAGGTGTGGTGCTCAATGTACGATCACCAGTAAAGAGTCTTTGACATTTTCGTGAAGGCGCAAGTAGTTTACCGTCGGCTCAATAGTTGATGTCGATTTCCGGTAGTTCCCCACGACAGGCGTCCATCGACATGTAAAATAACATAAGACTTAAGAGGGTTGGGGTAAGCACACAACTCTACTTCACCCAATCTGTCACGAACAACGGTTCTGAGGTTGATCCACTGTACGTGATACGCATCGTTACGCCGTCGTGGATTTGTCGGACTGCAAATGCGAACCTCGGGGAACGTCTGCCATAATTTTCTAGATCTCATCTTGCCACGTTGGAAGCCTTTGTGCGGTCTACGGAGGTTCTGTCGAAGCGGATTCCCGACTCTTAGCATTCTCCAACAATTGTCGCGCTGCAGGAGTATGTTCGTTCCACGGTGCTCCTGAAGCCTACACTAAGAATCGCATGGAGACTGGCGAACCAGTGTCTGGAACACCAACACATCCACCTTAACTGCACCGGCACATTCACCCCACCGCATGGGCTTACTAGGCCACATGCGCACCCACGAAAACCTGCGATAGACAACCGCCGGCTACATTTCAGCATCACACCTTCCACCCCTACATCACACATCATCATCCACAAGCATCCAACTGCCACCTCCCACGCAAGTGGGAAGTGTGCGTTTCGGCTCCGTCCCCGTGCGGTTCCTCTGCTGCATGTGTGATCCGAGTCTGAGGCTATCACGGTGCGTCAAGCACCGTGGCTTAGAAGGTTGCTGACAGACGCCCCAACTCGGTCCACGCGGTCTGCCCAGTTGTGTGGGTGTGTGTGAAGTGATAGACTGGTGGACTGAGGACGAGGCTTAAGCGGCTCCTTCTCTATGTGACCCACGGCACTCTCATGCATGTGAGATGTACGCCGCTCAACCCCCGTTGTGTGAAATCCTGGTACTTGTGTTTAGGAGGCCAGGTCGTGCATGTGGTGCGCGCAGACAAGGTCACTAGATATGTCAGCCACCACGTCCGTTCCTCGCACCTGTCAACTGACCGGCTCGGACAGTGGCTGGGGCCTGATAATGGGAGGGGAAAGTGAGGTCGACGACTCGGCGCATATTCCTCACTATAAACAGTCTGACGCGATTGAAGCTATCACGGTGCGCTAAAAGCCGTGGTTTGGAAGGTTGCCAACTGACGAGATAACCTGGACCTCGCAGTCGGCCCAGTGTTGTGTGCTTGTGTGGAGCGGCCGACTGGTGATCTAAGAGTTAGGCTGCCATGGCTCCCTCCTAATGTGGCCTCTACGGCACTCCCACTCCGTGGGATCCGATCCAGGTATCACAGGACGCCTACGTGTTGTTGGTAAAAATCCTGGTCATTTGCTGTGTGGACCAGGGGGTGTGGAATGGAGGGCCAAGGTGCGGGTCCGACCGTGCCATCCACCTGAACCCTTCGCCGCCGCCGGTCTTCTTGACTGTCTTGACTGCGGGTCCAGATTGAGGGGGAGAGGATGCTGTAGATGCACCGCAAGTCTACACTCACTCCAAATTTAATCACGCGCAAGTCACCGAACCTGCTTCACCTTCTTGTGGAGCACACGGCGGACATCGTCGGCAACGACGGTCGAACTGTGAAGTGTCGGGAGGACCTCCTTTATGTGTGCCGCCAGGCAACCACGATGAATACAGGCAAGAACTTTGTTGGCATTACTCGGTCGACTGTCCCTTCGTTCGTAGAGGCGGAAAATGGTGATATCATTGGGGTCCCGTACCATCTGTTCATGTTTAAACATCTGGAACAACAAAGTCAAGCTTCCCAGAATTTGGGGGCCAGTGCATATGTAGATCCCCGTTGGAATCAAGTCGAAACTCAGTGCTTTGCCCTTGGACAACTGCTGCACTGCCTTGATAACTTCTTGCAGAGGAGCCCAGCGATAAAACTTGTCGGTTTCTGTTTGCGGAAGTCCCCTAACGGTTTTGAAACAGATTGAGGACGTTCATAGTGTTCGGCCAAAAATCCCGAATTTTGTGACTGCTGACAGCAAGGTGGTTCTGTCTGAGCTGAACAGCGATTCATTTGCAGTAGCTTGAGTCGTCAGCTGTCTTGACACCAATCAAGGAGTTCTCCACTGCACTACGGTCGGTGTGTTTGGATTCCCCTTGAATTGCAAGCCAGCCATCTCGTGCGGTATTCGCTGAATTTGGCGTCTACATTGGAAGAATTCCATCTCGTTTTCAGTGGTGCAGTTGGCCGCATAGTCTGCTAAACTGGTTCTCCTCGGAGAAAAGGCGTTGGATTACTCGTCATTGCTGACGAACCAGTTCTAGTGTAGTTAACGTGTGCTTCGGAGGACTCCTGCAACAGTGATATAAACATCGTTTTTTAGCCTCTTCAATTTCCTCTTGATGCTATCAGTCTCTAGGGTCTGTTGTTACTCCAGGTTAACATTCATTTTGCCGGCCAGATCCTGCCTGCGTCCATCACCATCGAGCAGCACCAGGGTTTTTCGCTTCTTTTGTGCGGTATTCTGCCGAGCTTGTCTTCGTATTTGGATTTGGAGCCTTATCTTCGAGAAGACTAGGGATGACCACCTCAGCATTCGCCACCACACACGACCTTTAGTGTTGATATATCACGGCGGTCTAGGCTTTGGTAGGATCTCATTTGGTAGCCGTACCTGCAGTAGACAAGTCCCAGCCTAACACCTAACCCCAACCCTTAAACTTAACCTCCACCCCTTAACCCTGACCCTCAACCCTAACCGGCTACGAAATGGGATCATGCCTAGGCTTTTAACGAGCACGCAGTCTGACAGTTACCAGTGAGCACCTAGCACCAGTGAGCACCTGGCAAAAGCCAGCGTTAGTGATGAGATAATTGTCTTCTAGATAAGTGCTACTCAATAGGAGACCGTTGCTGTAGCGGATTCCCCTCCCGTAACAACCAAGCACTCGATTCAAGTAGTGCCGCCTATGCCTACTCGCGGACTAATTACTTCGAAAATCAGCATGTCTGTTATGACCCGGAAGAAAGGTAGGACAGGAAGAGAGCCGGTTCGGAAGACAAACACTTTATTGGTAACTTGCGGACACGAGGGGTTACAACTCGTCAGACAGACGCGCTATTTATCTTGGCTCCTGTGCGTTCTGTAACATTCCGTCCAATGACGCGTGCGCGACAGCCCCCGGTGGAATCGTCTGAAATGTTCGACCAGCCATCGATTGGGCCGCACACGTGTAAAGCCACCACACGTGCTCGGCGCTGCAGTGCACGCCGGTCGGCCGTCTAACATCACGCGTGTCTCACGCCGCCGGCTTAGCCCCCTGTTTGGCCCCTTAGGCCGTGGCTCTTCGCCGCTTGTACTCTCCATAACACCTCCCGCTTTTGAAAGGTGGACCTCGTACCTCTTCTTCTTCGGGTCCAAGACCAGTTTCCTTGGCGGTTTCGTTCTTCTGCTACTTCTACGAACGACGGGTAGTGTTGTCTGACTGTCTACCCTGGGAGTCTGAACCTCAAAGGTATCACACAGCAGGTCGAGTGCCATTTGACTGTCTCTGGTGTGTCTAGTCCTGAGCTGCTTAGCATGCCTCTTTATTTTTCCGGCTGCTGTCTCCACCTCAAACACAACACCTCTGGATTTTCTTATTATACCCTCTATCCAGAGCTTCTCTCCGGTTTTGTAATTGCGAGCAAACACCTCCTCTCCCTCGCGAAAGTAATGTTTTGTTGTTTGTGGGACTCGAGCTTCCGGTTGTAGGTATTGTAGTCGCGTATCCGGCTGTCGTCCCAAAAACCGTTCGGCTGGTGTCTGGCCCCCAAGATCACTTTTTGGAATTGTTCTATATGCAAAAAGGGATGTGTTGAGATACTCCAGTTTAACGCCAGTGTTCCACATCTTTTTCATCGCTCTCTTGAACGTGTCGACGAAACGTTCTGCCTGGCCATTCGATTGTGGATGGAATGGTGGTGACGTCACATGTCAAATCCCCCATTTCTGACACAGTTGTTGGAAAATTGATGACGTGAACTGAGTGCCGTTATCCGTCACAATCTCCGTGGGGATGCCGTATCTCGCTAGTAGTTCCTCCGTCTTCCTTGCCGTGATATCAGCAGTAGCTGCCGAGACGTCGAAAACTTCTAACCACTTGGACCATGCATCGACAACTACTAGAAACATTCGGTTGAAAAACGGACCCGCGAAATCCATATGGACTACACTCCAAAGTCTCGTTACCTCTGGCCATGGCACGAGCAGTACTCTCGGTGGGTTCTTAACCTCACGTCCACACGGGCCGCAGCTTCGAACGAAAGACTCCACGTCGTTATCAATTCCCGGCCAATATGCGTACTTGCGGGCCGGTTGTTTCATGCGGGTCATACCCTGATGTCCGGCATGGAGTTCCCGCAAAACTCGTTGCTGGGATCACCAATTTACCATTCCACATTATGCAGTCTTCCGTGATATACAACTGTCCCTTTCTGTTCCTGAAAGGGTGTACTTTGTCGTCGCTGGGCCAACCGTTCCGAATAAACTCTTTCACCTGGCACAAAAGGGGGTCTGCTGCAGTGGTGGCCCTGATGTGCTCGGCTGTGAGCGGCAACTGCCGGATAACACCTCTAAACTCGTCATCATCTTGCATAGCGTACTGACGACCACCACGTCTTCTTGATTTTCGTTGACTGCACTCAGTCGTGATAAGGCGTCCGGAGCTCCAAACTTCTGAGTGGGCACATATTGGATCTTAAAGTCATAGTTTTGAAGCATAGTACTCCAGCGTTGTATTCTCCTAGCTACGTCCTGGGGAACACCACGGTTAGTACCCAAAAGGAACTTCAGTGGTTGATGATCAGTGTAAAGTGTGAAGGGTCTGCCATAAATGAACAGATGGAATCTCTGTACGGCGAAGATAATAGCCAGTGCCTCCTTTTCAATCTGGCTATAATTCCGTTCTGCCTTCGTCAGTGACCTGGCGGCATGCATGATTGGCTGGAGTCTCCTATCTGCGTCCTTCTGAAGGAGCAATCCGCCTAAACCGTAATCAGAGGCTTCTGCCTGGACAATGGTCTCCTTGTCAGCTTCGAAGTGCGATAGCATAGTCGAGTCGCATATCTTTGTCTTTATGGCAGCAAATGCCTTTTGGCATTCCGGAGACCAAACAAACTCCACGTCCTTGCACAGAAGTCGGCTGAGTGGAGGTTTTAAACTGTGCAACCCAGTGATGAAAGGGCCGTAGTAGCTGACCAACCCCATAAACGATTGCAGCTCCTTCGTGTTCGTCGACACTTCCATCTTCTGGAATGTCTTCACTCTCTCTGGGTCAGGTGCACGCCCATTCTCGTTGACTATGAAACCGAGATAGTGGATCTCCTTCCGCAACCATTCCTTTTCTCCATATTAATCTTAAGGCCGTAGTCGATCAGACCGTCCACAACCTGGTCCAGCCTTTGAGTCAGCTCTTTCACTGAGCTACCGACAAACAAAATATCGTCCAGATATACAATAACCCGGGGAACATTCGTAGGCATCGTATCCATGATCTGCTGGAGCACACTAGGTGCCGTTTTCACGCCGTAGTTTAGACGAGAGTATCTGAAGAGACCCTTATGCGTATTAATGGTCAAAAGTTCCTGCGATTTCTTGTCCACCTCAATTCGCAAGTAAGCTTCGGATAGATCGATCCTTGCAAAAACTTGCCCTCCATTTAGAGTAGCAAAAATCTGCTCTAAGGTTGGCAGCGGGTAGTGATAATCTTCTAGTGCGTCGTTCAAGCCCGTGGAATAACCCGCACATAATCGTGTCTGTCCGTTGGGTTTCTTCACTGCCACGACTGTGGCAGCCCAAGCTGAATAATTGGCAGGATAGATTATGCCCTTTGACAGTAGCCTTTCCAGTTCAGCTTCTACGGACGACTGAACCGCAAACGGGACCCGTCGGCTCTGCTTGAAAACTGGCTTCTTCTCCGGCTTCATTTTCAAACTTATCTTCGTCTTCGTGCACCTGCCGGCCGCGTTCTCCATGCGTTCCATATACGTATTCTTCAGAACCTCTTCAGTAGTGTTGTGCACCGCGCTGCAAATTTCGTCGAAGGGACGGTTCTACAATCCCGGTTCGGAGATCGTCATATTTCCGAGAAGATTGTTACGGGTTTTCGACACAGATATCTGAGAGGCAAGTCATGTTTCGAAAACTAACAGTCGCCTAAAAAACGCCTTCAAATTCCATACGCGTCTCGTTTGACGCCCATGCTATGATCTCTGATGGTCTCAGTTCTGGAGAACCGATGTACTCCCATGTGCGCATGCTGATTATGGCCAGATCAGAAGCTGTGTCTACTTGTAATGTGGTCGGCTTTTCGTTACTATTCACCGTCAAGTATTACCGGTGTTCGCAATTGAGTACTTGCGAATCGTCTTCTAAAATGACATGACAATCCTTTCTTGGGCTAGCGTGCGCTGCTCTGCAATGTGAAGCTTTGTGGCCAACACGGGAGCATTTGTAGCAGATCCTACTACGATAGGGACATTCGCTCACGTATTGCCAACCGCCGCACAGCCAAAAAGCCGTCTTTGGCTTCCGTGAGGAAACTCTGTTCGGTCCTGGTTGTCTCGTTTTTGTGTCGAAAAAGTAAGCTGGATGACTATTTGTGCTTCCAATAAGCCGGGTATCTTGCTTGATATTTGTAATTCGGACACATTCCTCTGCCAGTTCCTGTACTGTCATATCGCCTTTCTGGTCTAGCTGGGCGAGTAACCGCGCACGCACACCTGCATCTTCTGGCAACGTCAACGACTTAATGAAAAATAGTGCTTTAATCTGTGCCCTGGTGGCCTGTTCTAGCTCGGCTTGCTGAAAAGTATCATTAACTCGACCGGCCAAAGCAAAATATTCTTCTTCAGGCTTACGCTCAGCTTGAAACATTCAAAACGTCGATTGAATAACGACTTTGTAAAACAGAACAATGCTTCCAAATGCTTGAGTGTGTCCTTAAACGAGACATCTGATGGTTTCGGAGGCAGAATGATGTTTACGTACCACTCGTGTTCCCGCTGGGCCAGTTTTAGCAGCATGATTTCCACCTTCGTCTTGTCCTCTAGTTCTGCTCCCTCCTCTTCCAACAGTCCTTCATAATTTCGAAAGCAGGCTTCGAAATTCACGCCTGCTTTTGGATCGTAAACGAACTCGGTGATCCGTTGCTCGATCTGTTTCTTTTTGTTCTCTCTGGATGCCGGTCCCCAATTCCGCTGCATTTCTGTGAGTAGTGCCATGAAGCTGGCCTGCTGGGCCTCCAGTATGTTTCATTTGTTCTTCTGATATCATTTTGCTGCGCCTGCGTCGCCAGTTGTTAGGACCCGGAAGAAAGGTAGGACAGGAAGAGAGCCGGTCCAGAGGACAAGCACTTTATTGGTAACCTGCGGACATGAGGGGTTACAACTCGTCAGAAAGATGCGCTATTTATCTTGGCTCCCGTGCGTTCTGGAACATTCCATCCAATGACGCGTGCGCGATAGCCCCCGGTGGAATCGTCTGAAATGTTCGACCAGCCATTGATTGGGCCGCACACGTGCTCCGCGCTGCAGTGCACGCTGGTCGACCGTCTAACTTCACGCGTGTCTCACGCCGCCGGCTTGACAGTTCGACCATCGATCTCCACCGTGTGCCCCACAGCTGCAGCGGTGGGAACAGGGACAGTGACTAGCGCAAGGGTTTATAGTGCCGGTAGACTTGCGCTGCATCTACCTACACTCTCTCCTCCTCCCGAGCCCGGTGTCAAGACAGAGTCAAAAAGACCGGAGACGAGTGAGGCCGCAGGTGGATGGCTCGGACGGATCCTCACCTTGGCGTTCGACCACACCTCCTGGTCCACACAACAAATAACCGCCGCCGGCTTAGTCCCTGCTCAGCCCCTTAGGCCGTGGCTCTACGCCGCTTGGACGCTCCACAACAATGTCTGAATTTTGTACAAACACAAGAAAGGCGAGCAAATGCCCGTAAAACTTGTTCTTGATGACGTCAAGGCTTGTCACTGTCGAAGAGCGGACGCTAAGGCTAGTGGCCAATTTCATACTAAGTAGAAGCGGGGTCGCGATGAGTCGGTCACGGATACCATTTGGGGAAAGGGGAGCGCAAGCTCCTGACAGTGCCATATCTAGTGTCGAAGGCGAATGCAGCATGTCGCTGTTCTCGCCTAGAACAGCTGCTCCAACTACATTTACCTGTACCTCCTCAGGAAAATTAGGCGTACTGACAACGGCAATGTTTTCCTGGTACCGAACTGGTTTCCTGGCGGCCAGAGCTGTCCTAACTTCTGCTCGGCTGGCCATTGGGTTATCTAAAAGTAGACGGACGTTTTGGATTGCCGCAATGAACCTGGCCACTGGTGGGAGGACGAGGGTTGTCACTGCTCCTCACGTCTCGACTGCCAGTGTCGCGTCCAGCAACAAGTCTCTTGTACAGACGGTTTGAAATTGCATTTGCTTATAGCACTTTTCTTACGCCCTTCTCCAGTGATAGAGTAGGCATGTGCTCATAAATTGGGCTCTTTAATGACTCTAGAGGACTGTCGAATTCCAATATACTAACGACTGCTGTGTTGGAAAAAAACCCGACGAGGGCGATGCCTCATGCGACTTGGTGATGAGGGTGATTTGGGCATAAAATTAAAGCGTGGAGCACTTATAATGTGCCCAACTTATCCGCACTTCTCAGTATCAACGTGATCTAATGACGACCATGTCAAAACTACTGGCAATGTGGGAACTGTGGCTGACTTGGTGCAAGCCTTGTGTATGCGTGCCACAACACAGCTGGTTTACCCCTACTCAAAAAGTCAGACTACACACAAAGAAATGCACCGGCGTGGGAGAAATACCGGCCACCTGTCTCGGGTTTAGTTAGTCAGTTGAAACGGTTACTGACGTGTGGTCAGAACAGTTACGCAGAGTCATGAGGAGAGCTGATTGCCAAATGGGGGCAATGCGGAATGGTCATCAAGCGTGTGAAAGCACTCCGACGAGTGTCAATACAAGGTCAACCTGGGCACCCATACACCCCAACTAGGTACTACAATTACGCAAACCGAAAGTCCAGATTACGTCTTAAAATAGGATTAGGAGATTCATACACTATAAATGATAAGTAAAACGACCGGAAATAGAACCAACCTTGAAGAATCGCGCACCGTTTCTGTTATAGAAGCGATCCCAATTTCGGCCTGCCTCTTGAACTAGCTTTCTGTACTGAAATTTCGACGCCATACATTGTACCTGCTTCTCAAGGAGCTCCAGGGCGTCGTCGGAGAGAGTCAACGTCTTGAATGATTCGACAGAAAATGGGGATTCTTCGCAAATGCTGGACGCCTCACCAGCTGCGAGGTCTGCGTTCAAGGAAAAGGGTGAGATTAATCGGATTTTCACTCAAACGGCGCGAAGACTAAGGCAGTCAAAACTGAACGCGTGTGTATAATAACGGAAGTGGAAGTAAATAAGGTGCTGGATGTCCCTGAGACGCAGAAACTAGGCGTCCAATCAGCTAAACCATGAACTAAGATTAAAGCGACTGTACGTCTTCGACTAATCCTAGTCAAATCGACTGCATAATGTGACTAGGTTTCACATTGGTGTGAAAGGAGCCTGAGAAGGTTTGCAGTGTTCACTCGAGGAACAGGGAGGCCGATGAAAGTGGGGCAGGGGACGAGATTCTACGCGTTACGGGAGCCGGCGAAGAGTCCGGTAGGCGAAATCGGGTTATCAGCTGTTGTGATGCACCATCTGTAGTCACAGTAGGCAAACAGGAGCTCTGCGATTGTGTCAATTCAATGAACTGATTCAAAAGTCGGCAGCATCCTAAAGGGTCTGACCATGTTCAAATGATGGGAACAAGCCTATCTGCACGAGAACACCAAGGCTACACGGCTCGCCAAAAGTGCACAAACCCAACTAAGTGGTCCAATAAATTGGCTAAATTACTAAAACTGGTCGAGCGCGACACGGCACAATGCGGTCGCCTGGACACTTCGATTCGCGAGTGGTGATCGAGGTCAGGATTTAGATATTAAAACTCTGCAGCCTGCTTATGTCACGCCTCTCTTCTGACAAAGACAGTCAGAAATTTGAAGGAATCAAGTTGCCGGAAGGGGTTCCCAGCGAGTCACTACCTCGTCGAATGTCCATATGTGCCTTGAATATACTGACTACTCCTATCGTTAGACTACTGGTATGGCTGAGGGATCATTGCTTGCAGATATGTTTATGGGAAACTCTAAAAATACCCAGCTTAGACTGGCTATAAGAGGATTCGATTTCCGTACAAAATTTGTTGTCAAACCTACGAAGTTGCTACGGACAATGCCAACTTAGACGCTCCCTCATCAAAACCGAGCAATACACACCAGGCTATCTTGTCTATTCTACAAGTACAAACCGAAGAATCCTTCATTTCTAGACGCCTTACTACATAGGAGGCCGGATGGTGGTGTCCAAATACGGTAGCCGGCCTATCTCACGAAGTTCTGACCGAATGGAAGGGTGCCGGTTGATCCGACTTCCGGACGCATTTCCCTACTTCTTACCTGCGGCGATTTAGTGTCTTCAAAAGAAGAATTGGTTGAAAAGGTATTTCCCAAAATTCAAACCAATTATACAAATCACGATTGGTTGGGCGAACGAACTATTCCTGCGGTCAAGAACAAATATGCCTACCAGTTTAACCATGTTATTCAGTCTACGATTCAAAACGAGGCCGTCATATACATGTCCGTTGACACTGTTGTGGAAGCAGACGGGCAGTTAATTAACCAACAGAATTTCCGAATGCACTTGATCTGCCAGGGATGCCGCCGCACGTACAGCAATTGAAAATCGGCGCGCGGATTATCATGCTGCGAAATAACAGTCAGTCGAAGCTTTGCGACGGCACGCGGCTTGCAGTAAAAAAATTAATACAGAAACGTCGTGGAAGCAACTATCGTGGCTGAAATCCGCTCAAAAACACGCCCCCCCCCCCACGGCCGCACTCACCCCCCAGCAGACACTTGAACATGTCCCCCCCCTAGCTCGATGTAATATGGGTCGCTAGGCGAACCACCCCTGTAGCAAAAAAACATGCTACTCTTGGGCTCCACTTTAACTTGCCCACACTACCCACATAATAAGGCTGTCACCGCTTTCTCTAGGATTCTCGGGCGTGACTGGATGCAATTAACACCAACCCTCCTCCCCCCCCCGCCTCAGCCAGTGGATCGCATATGGCTAAATATATTTCCTGTCGACTACGCAGGGCAAAGCCAAATGCGGATTTCACAGCCGAAATCTACAACGAGGCGTTAATAATGATCGAGGATGTGTGCGTAGAAATCACGAAAGGTTCTCAATTAACTGGGAAAGCTATCACCAAACTGATCTGCTGCTGCTTCGTTAGACGTGGATTTGCGGAGTGAGAAAAAGTACAACACGGTTGATCTTCTATCGTATCTGCAATCAAACATTCCTAAGCTAACACTTGAGCCGAATGGCATTTACGAGCAAATAGTGAGGACTGCCAATAAGGGGGTTGGAGGAATCTTCTTCTTGGATGCGCCAGAAAGTAAGTGGCAAAACTTTCCTACTACGACTGATTCTGGCAGCATTTCGATCCAAAAACAACATAGTCCTAGCCCTTGCGTCGTCCGGAATAGCTGCGACCTTGCTACCTGGCGGAAGAACTGCTCATTCCGCTTTGAAATTGCCGTTGAACGAGCAATTCACTGAAACTCCCACGTGCAAAACGTTCAAGGCATCCGGCATGGGAAAAGAACTGCAGAAATGCAAACTTATTGTTTGGGGTGAATGCACAATGGCACAGAAAAACGCTAGAGGCCCTTGGCCGATCATTGCAAGACTTGCGCGGAAACAGCAGACCACTTGGAGACACATTGCTACTGTTTGCAGGAGACTCAAGCAAACACTGCCTGTAATTCCTCGATCGACACCAGCCGACGAAAGAAATGCCTACCTGAAATACTCTACGTTGTAGCGCCACCTCCAGACGTTAAAATTAACTACAAATATGCGTGTCCAGCTGCAAACCGGCTGATCAGTTGAAATATTCTCACACCATTTGCTGGCAGTTGGGAACGGAACGGTGCCGGTTGACCCGACTTCGGAGCGCATTTAGAAACCTATTACCTTTGGTAATTTAGTGTTGTCAAAATAAGAATTGGTTGAAAAGGTATTTCCCAATATTCAAACCAATTATATGAATCGCTATTGGCTAAGCGAACGAGCTATTCTTGCTGCCAAGATCAAAGGTGTCTTCTACCCTAGCCGTACTACTCAGTCTAATAATCAAAGCGAAGCAATCGTGCACACGTCCGTTGACACTGTTGAGGAAGCAGACGAGGCAGTTAATCATCGAACAGAAATTTTGAATTCACTTGATCTGCCAGGGACGCCGCCGCACGTACTGCAATTGAAAATCGGCGTGCCGATTATCGTGCTGTGAAATATCAACCAACCGAAGCTTTGCAACGACACGCGGCTTGCGATAAAAAAAACTACCGCAGCAACGTCGTGGAAGCAACTATCTTGGCAGGACCCTTCAAAGGTGAACATGTCCTTATTCCTCGCATTCCACTGATTCCAGTTGACATGCCATTTCAATTTCGGAGAATGCAACTCCCGATTCGATTGGCGTTTGCAATCACCACCAACAAAGCTCAAGCCCATTCTTTAGAATTGTGCGGTTTGGATCTGCAAACGAATTGTTTCCCACATGGCCACTTATGTGTTACGTGCTCCAGAGCCGGCAAACCAGGCAATCTCTGTAACGGCACAGACAACGCAACGAGAAAAAATATTGCATATCCACAAGCGTTATGACATTAAACATGTTAGAAACATGCTCCCTTCATCTTTTCTTTCTTATACATTTCATCAGACTGAGCCACAGCAACGCGTGGCCGGGTCCTGCTAGTCGGTCATTAAATTCGGAGGTATATACCGTACGAAATTTTCCTCAAACTTTCATGAAGGCTCGGCAAGCGAACTCTCGAGTCGTCAATTGATTTCGACTGTACCGCAAATTTATCACGCGGCAATTTCCACCAGCAGTTTACTCCTGCATCCAGGAGGTAAGAGCAAGTTATTACTTCAGAAATCATCAATGTGCACCAACTATTTTGCTTGATCTTCCGGATATAGCCATAGAGGTTGAACAACAAGGAGTCTTTCCAATATTATGCGTGAATATTTTCTATCATGACTTGGTGAGGGCGCAATCGGGCCTGTCTCTACCACTATTTTGTCCTACGTAGTGAACAAGGAGGTCAAATATATCTGTGTTACGTACGCGGTCCCATAGGACCGACTGAAGCTACTACATGGGCGAATGCCGGCGGCTACGTGAGAGACCGCTATCAACAGAGACAGCCTTGTTTTCGAATCATACAGATGCAAACACGCCAGTTCGACCGTCGCGAGCGACAACGTCCAATGTGCCCCACGGAGTGGGTGCAGTGGTCACTTGCGTGAGAATTAGTTGACAATGAAGACGAGCGCAGCATCTGCCGCACTCTCTCCTCTCTTACTAATTTTGGCTCCGATGGTGAGATAAGATCAAGATGAGGATAGGTGAACGTGGGCGCGATCGCTAACAAAGCTGAACGGTCCGCCTACGCCTGCTACATACGACTGAGTTTCCATTTCGCGCACAGGCGGCTCCGATCTTACGTAGGTGGGGATATCATAAAGGCTGCACGAAGAATGAGCCATTACAGCCTGAGCGACAGTCCTGAGAAGGATCAAGTTATTCTGTCAGTTGGAAACCTTCCAAGTCACGGGTCTGAACGCGTCGTGATAGTGAGAAATGCGCTGTGTCGTGAGGATAGATTCTCCAGTGTTGGCCTCCTCCCTCCTCCACGAATCAGCCGACCGTCCCAGCCTGTGAAACAATTGCTGGTGGGATTGGGGTCAGCGGCGGACAGGACTGAAAGGTCCGTTTATGTGGGCAACACACAACCTAGTACCCATTTCCTGGGTCAGGCAACATCGAATAACATACTCCCGTGTACGTGAGATTTGCATGCCTTTGTATGCGATGTTTCGCCCACCGTGTCGGAGTTGGCAGTAGGGATCGCATGTACGCTACAGGAGCGAAGTGTTGTGTTACGGAGAGGTGTCGCGTATTCGCATTATGTGAAGCATAATGGTGTAGTATAATGTTTGTGCGCATGCAGGCAATGTGGTGTTGTGATGTGATGTATTTTTCACCTCATTTTCTGAGTGAAGATTTTTGTGGATGAGCATCTGACCTAATGAGCCAAGTCAAGACTCCCAGCGTGTCGTGCTGAACGGATGTAAGTTAGGAGTTGTGGCACCAGTTTACTGGTCTCGGTGCGACTAATTCGCAAGCAATGAAACAGGCGGATGCCTGATTTGAAGGCATGGGACAATTTTAAACTGAGTCCACACTGTCCGTTGTCGAGCGGATGAAAAGGCACGTGGAAGGGTTTCCTTCGGCCATGTTTCTGGTGATCTCGACGCCCTGTACTGATGGTGATGAGTTGGGCAGGTTGTCGTGACGATAAATCTGAGTGTAGCCCACGCCTTCGATGCGTGCTCTGAACGTCAGCTGGTCCCATGGGGATGTTAATATCCTCAGAAACTAACTGCTAACTTGGATTAAATCAGTTTATACCAGGGTCTATATGCGCCGACCAAAATTTAATGTATTAATATTTGGGCCCAAGACCACCAGCCACAGCGGGATGACTGAGTAATATTCACTAACTGCCGACAGGAAACTAGTAGTACATTTTGGTGTTTGAAGATACCATACCAGATAGTACCTGTGCCGCTAGTATGGTATCTTCTAACGTTAAAATATACTACTGGCTGCCTGTCGGCAATTAATGAATAATACGCAGTCATCCCGCTGTGGTTGATGGACTTCCGCCCAAATATTCATACATCATATTTCGGTCTGCGCCTATACACCCTAGTGTAAGCTGATCTACTCCAAGTCAGCAGTGAATTTCTGGGGAAATTAAAAAGCAACAATTTCTAAACTGGAGTATCTACCAGAAAACACACCGGGGATGCTGGGGGACCCACTGATGAGCCGAACCCCTCGCAGTTGTGCCATTCAGCGACAGAATATCAGCGAAACACGTATGTCTCGGCTTTTAGCCATTACCTGCGCTGCCAGTATAGTATCTTCCAACGCTAAGAAGTTAATATCCGCTGAGTGTTTGCAATTCTGATCTGTGATACTCAAGGTTTGCACGCCGCCCTCTTCGCTTCGACTTCTTCAATGCGATAAGCTTCGTATATTGTGTCTCCAGTTTTCGTGACATTATGCCACGTCCGTTAATTCTCTGGGCGAAGACTTACAAGATCTCAGGGTTAATCTGCAGGTGTTTGAAGGAAATCTACGGCGTTCTTGTAAGAACGGTTTTGCTCGCCTTCTCTGCGAGCACCGCAGTGACACTGACGTAGAATAGTCGCTTAGGCAGGCGCTCGTCATCCATCTTAACGACGTGGCTGCTTCATCGCAGTTGTATCTGACTCAACATGGAGGAGATATCGAAGATGTCAGTTCTCTCCCGGATCTGCGTATGGCGCCCTTCCCTGCTATTTTATCCTCAGTATTCTCTGGGAGCTGATGTGAGAATGGTCAGGTTTCTTGCTTGAATTTCATACACAGCCCACGTCTCTGTCCCGTACAAAAGTGTTGTCGGGATGAAGGCTCGGTATATCTTCAGCTTGTTGTTCAAGTGGAGGTCGTGGCAATTCCAAACTGAATTCTGCAGCTCACCAATGGCCTACCTGGCTTTAAAAATACGGTAAGCAATTCTACCGTCCATCTTGGTATTTTAAAATTTTACTTCTTAGATAAGCGAATTCGTCCGCAAATAAGAGGAAAGTTCTATCCACATCGACTCTGGGGACGTTGCATTAATCAGATGGCGCTGGCCGATACTTGACTTGATCGTCAGCCCAGGGTTTTTGCATTCGGAGGCATGGAAGTTCACTCTCCGTTGTACACGAATTGGCCTGCTCCTAAGCAGCCAGTCGAAATCTGGGGCAGCTTCACATGTGCGTGCGACCAAAGAGTGAGAAGAAAGTAGGCACAAATAAATAAACTGTCAGAGTAGTTCAACACTTTCGGGATTCTCCAACAAGACGGCAAACGAAACCAAGGAATTGGCACCACTAACATTTCTAGCATACGCTGTGCATCGGAATCTGGTTTAATTGAGTGTTTGAGGCAGTCGGCCAAATTGCTGGTAACAGTTGCACCTATTCTACAAAACAAATTTACCAACGCTTGTTCTGACAGTTCGACCTTTGCACCCCACGTGCGGTGTTTTGATTTACTGAATAAACAGGCTCCGCGACCTCCGTCGATGAGATCGCGTGTGAGGTGGGAACTGGCCAAAATATTCAACAGGCTTAATAGACCATCCTCATCGGAGGAGTAACCTAGTCACTTGACCAAAAGTAGCCTCTTATCATCGTCCATCCAACAACTCATAATACGTTTTACTGTTTAACTTTCGGTGGCGCTCCTGAGTAAAAATAAGAAACACAAGAAATGTGAGGCCCACTGGACCAGTCGGGGCAGTAAGGCTTTGAGGTACAGTACTCATGTGACTGGGAATTGAAGTTTAAACAGCCCCTCAAACGGAGACGGAAACCAGCAGTGGAAAAAAGTAGTTTTATAGACATACCAGCGACATCGTCACTTCCAAATTCAATCGCTTCTGATTTCTGATCACCACTGGCTTTAGCATCTTCTGATTTCAAGGATTCCCTAAGACGCAATCAAGGTCATCTGAAGGGTCAAAACACCTACTCTGAATGTCGCTGCATCTCGGCATCCAGAGCAGCATAAATATCCGAATAAGATCCGTTTTTCCTGCTTTTGGTTTCCGCCAACCTCGTTTCATAGTCCTTTTGATGTTGGACAACCTCGGCTTCTGTTCGACACTGACGATAGGCTGCCAGCAAATCTGCATTGACTGTCAAGAAAGCGGGTCCCCATGAAAACTTGTTGAGAAGAATTTGAGCCTCCCTAGTCCAGCCGAGGATGTAGAGAGTGGCTGCAAATGCTTCCACACAAGTGAGCTTGTGCGGCTTCCCATAATTAACAGGATTGACAGCCAGAAGGTAGGGCACCAGTCGTCCATGAGAAAATTTTAGCTGCGACAAGAAAAAAAAAGATAGAGACAGAGAATGGTTAAGTAATATTGCCGTAGCACTGGGGCCAAAGGATAAAAAGGAAAATGCAGCAGCCCAGCATAAAACAGACCGAAATTTGATGAGGACAGGAAATTCCAACTAGAGTCAAGTAAGTCAACAAAGAACCGGCTGACGGTGATTCTAATGGCATATTCGCAAGCACAAAGATTAAAAAGGATCTCCTCAAGGAATACCGTGCAAAGGAGTTCTGTAGTTCTTTTAGAGCAACAAGACACGATGATAACCTGCCTCCTAAACATATCACGGACAGAAGTCCGAAAAGTGGGAGGGCATTAAAAACTAGGAGTGATAAGAGGTCCACTGAAATCGGATCGAGTGCGCGTATCAAATTAGCGTCCGATAGAAGGAACCAGCACCCTTATAATCCTCCCTCTATTATAGGAAGGATAAGTGAGATCGCCAGTCTCAAGGACCACAGAATTAGGTCAAAACGCGTCATTAAATCCAAGTCGGGGAGGGGAAACCATGCTCCAAAAGCAAGCATGGATCCAAGACCCGAGATCCCTGCCAAATAACAACGTGAATCATTATGGCTCCGAGCCAAAGAGTAAAAAAAATATTGGCAAAACATTTAAAAACTGCCTTCACAACAGATACACGACTAAGGTTAACGGCAAGGTGGTCTGCAAAAATCAACCTTACACGTGACCTATAACGCCTGAAGAGTTACAGTAGTGCTGATGACTGTATGAAGTCCGAAAAATTATTCAGTAAAACTCGTCCGCATTCAAATAACGGTTGGTGAAGACAATGCGGATGCTCTGGGTGTTTTCTGTGAGCATTTTGAATGGAGGTGGTAGCTGAGGACAAGAGGTTGGTGCTAACGTTAGACTTTTAGAACGCATGGGCAGACAAAACATATACTTTAAATTTAATAATTTATACCTTCCTGAAGGGAGTTTTATCGAGTTGGGCCCAGGAGCAATCAATAACACCAATCCCGCATCGTTCAACAATGTTATGGTCAGTTTGCGGGTCGAGATATTGGGTCGCTGTTGGCGTGAGGACGATTCCATAGAAGGGCTCAGTTAACTTTAGTTGCCGCGTCAGACCAAAGCGAGCCAGTTTCCGGCCAGTGCAACGCCTTGGGTCACACTGGCCCAGGTCCCACATTGCTGTAATTATGTTGAAATTCTTGGAATTACTATCGCTCCCTAAATTTTCATCGGGACCCGAATCCGAGCTATCAGACATAGATCTAACATTTTCTGTAGTGGATGGAAATTCAGGATACTCCGTCGGCGACTCGGTTTTAAAGCCTTTTCTGGCAGGTCTTTTATGATACTTCGGGGGAGGGTGATTGCCCTTCCTTCTTTGCATTGCTACACCTAAAGAAAAGAAGGCGGGATTTTCAGGATCAAAGCAAGAAATCAAGAGACCAAAGCAAAGAAATTGCTCGATGACGCGGCAGGCAGTACTCTGACAGAAGTGAACTGTGCAGTAAATCGGCAGACCTTTTAGTGTTATATAAAAGTAGGCGACCACGTTACAACTCAAACCGGATTTTAACAGCCCGTTGGGAATCTAAAAAAGTAAAACAGGACGGGGTAGACGGAGAGTGGAAAAATTGTCAAAGTAACAACGTGAAACTTCCCAAACGAAAAGTCAGATAAGCAGAATTGGTACAACAATCCGTTACCCTGATCGGAGAAATAGCTCAGAAATCAGGGCCAGGAATTGTTCCACCACACCAAAAAGCAGCCGTTGTTGTTGTTGTTATGTCAGTGCCAGGTGTGAGTGAACGTCCGGACGCGACTAAAATGACGATCGGGACTAACAGCGTCCCCAAGCTGAGGGCTATAAAGTGCAACGCCAGCATTCAGCTGAAAAAAGGGTTTGGCCGCTGAAGGCAAGAGAAAGCAAGGTGTTGTGAGCTCATGGGCGATGATGGTACAAAACTGCTTCAGCAGAGGCTGGCCGAACGAACCCGCGAACGTAAAGCGACATGCGAAGCAGCCCTGGCGGGCAAATTTCGTCATCTGCCTGCTCCAATGTCATCCAATAACGACAAACTGATGCACAACTTGTCGTCAAAGGAGCTGACGGGGAAACAAATGCAGGTGTTAGGGTATGAGGCCTCATTCAACACAGCCGATGCCAAACCTGCCAACAGGATTGCAGCAGTGGAATCAATCCTCAGCCAGACGAGAGCGACAGATAAAACGAAGAACCGCATTCGACACCAAGTGTCATCCCCTCCTCGTGGCTCATAGGCCGCACGACGTGCTTTGCAAGGTCGAGCGCGATGTACTTAAGGAACTCAGGATCGACAACGACCTCGTTATCGTGCCTGTGGACAACGGGCGTTCCACGGTCGTACTGGACAGGACAGACTACAATCAGAAAGCCAAACGTTTGTTGGAGGATCGTCATTCCTATGTCCCATGCGAATCCAATCCCATAAAATGCTGACACGCGAGATTAACGCGACACTGTTGGCAATTGAGAACTCAGGGGCAATATCGCCAATCGACCGACGCATGGCGAGAGCACAAGAAACGGCCCTAGCCCGATTCTACGGTCTCCCAAAAGTTCACAAAGAGGGTGCTCCTCTCCGGCCTATCGTATCATTAAAGGGTACTCCAACCTACGGACTGGCAAAGTGACTGTTCCAACGTCTCAAGTTTCTGACCTCCGATTCGAACACCACAGTCAGCTCGTCAACGCAATTCTTAGAAAAACTTAAAGGAGTAAGTCTCCTGCCAGGCGATATCATGGTTTCCTTTGATGTCACGTCCCTTTTTACTTCTATCCCGCAGGACCTGGCAGTCGAGACAATCGAACCACTCCTACGAGAGAAGTACGACGAAACGGAGAATCGCCTCGGACACGCCCAAATCATCCAGCTCCTGAAGTTCTGTCTCAAGACGTACTTTACATTCGACGGAACAATCTACGAGCAGGTGTAGGGAACGCCAATGGCTTCGCCGATTTCGGAACTCATAACCGAGGCGGTCCTAAAACGGTTGGAGTCGCTGGTTTTCCGACACCGCAGACTGAAATTTTGGGCTCGGTATGTGGATGATACCTTCGTCGTCATCGAACGGGATCAGGTGCTGACTTTCAAAGAACAACTCAACGCCGTCTTCCCGGACATTTAATTTACGATGGAGGGGGAGGAAAACAATCAGCTGGCCTTCCTGGATGTCCTCGTCTGCCGCAAAGATTGTGGTGACCTAGAAACCAAAGCGTTCAGGAAAGCGACAAGTACGACGCAAATACTGAACTTCAATAGAAACCACCCGATCAGTCACAAACGCAGTTGCGCAAGGGCGCTATGCCGGCGTGTTGAGACGCACTGCGGTGAAATGGAAGACAAGGTTGCTGAATTGCAATATCCTCGACGGGTAATGAGAGCCAATGGCTACCCGCGCAACTTTGTCAACCAGTGCATACGAAAACGACACCAGAGACCAAATTCAGCCGGCCCCAACTTTTGGCGGGCTCTTCCGTACATGAAAAACGTTTCGGGAGCCGTCCGTCGTCTTCTCACCCCACTTGGAGTTGGGGTTGCACACAGGCCATCAGGCGTCAAGTCATGAAGCCGAAAGATCCACTGCCACGGCAGGAAACATCTAAAGTCGTTTACCGGATTTGGTGCAATTGCGGTCAAAGCAATGACGTCGGAGAAACTAAGAGATTACTCCGTACGCTAATTGCCGAGCACGCAGCAGCGGTGAGGCGGGAGACGCTAGCTCTCAGGTGGCGGCTCATTCGATGGGACGCGGCCATATTTTCAAGAGGCCGAAATTCTCGCAAGGGATAACAGCCACATGAGCCGCGAGCTGCTCGAGTCATGGTTCTCAGGCCCGCAATCCATCAACAAGCTCAATGACCTCCCATTTCCATATTCCGTGCTGAGATTTTCCCTGGGCAAGGGAATCAGCCACGTGGGGAGGGCGCGGGCGAGTAAATATCCTAGTGACAGTAAGCCAATTTGCCGAGCAATCGTCACACCAGCCTCTAACACGGATGACGAAATCCCGGCAACTAACGACTCGGACACGGATTGATAATCCACCATCGCATCAATTAAGACTCTAGCGGTGATTGTGAGAGCTGTTAATTACAATGCGCATATGGTCCCACGACAACCACGTGTAAAAAATACTGCACTCCTTGTGCCACCATTACCCTTATCTGCGACTGTCTCTGATGATGGGTTCGAGTGAGAACCCGAAACGTCAGGTCAATAAATTTCTTGTTCCAGTGATCGCATCTTCGTCTTCTGAACTGCTACCCGGAACTCGCCTGCTCGCTTCTATCGACAAAGACCTATTTTAAATACAGGAACAAACCGCCACACGTGAGAACTAACGAACTGTTGGGAGTCTGGATATGAAGATTAGGGTTTGAACAGCTATGGTCTAAGGGATTTGGGGGGAGATCACGCTGAGATGGCCTCCGATGTTCATAAGAAAACGTCTGCGTGTCAGGCTGCAGCAGACGCAAAAATGCGACCAGAGCTGGAGTTGCCAGGGCATTTGTTTCGCTGACATGAGGTTCGACTCGTTCTAGCTACTGGTCCTGTTTGGGAAAGAGGTACACGGAGGATGAAACGACAAGTGGTGGCCGTGCTGCGACGGGCCGAAGAAACACACCGGACTTGACGGGTAATGACCTCGGCGGGCTTCCAGGTGAATTGGAGAGGGGAATGACTGCTGTTGAGAAGTTACGTTTTGAACAAACTTCATTATCTGCAACCGAGAGGATATGAAAGAAGTTGAAGTCCAAATTGAGAGGAGCAATAGTTTGGTGTGACTGGGCACCTCCCTCAGCCGATTGGTCATCTAAGTAAATTGGACAGTCCAGGGAGAAAGTTAGAAGCGGGTGCCGAAATTTATTAGATTTTTGATGGAAAATTATCAACTGTCATCGCCTGGATATACGGAGATTAGAAGTGAGGAAGACTGACGCTCGTTCTACGTTACCACTTGTCGAAGTGCAATGGTAAACAATGAGAAGTTTCTCAAATGAAAAGTCGGGTAGACAACTAGAAGGAAAATCCTTTATCATTACTGGACACGCGCATGCAGACCAGATGTCAGGAGCGACAACTGTCCCACCACGGCAAGAGCCATAGCCTGCTGCCGTTAAGTGGTGGAAACCAAAGTATGGATCAGTGTCACAGTGCCGCCAAGTCAAAGACTGAGCAACGTGCGGCACAGACAGCTAACTGGCGAGGGGGTTTAGTCGCTTTCGAAGGTCGAGTAGACTACCACAAAGTCGTTGGTAATAGCAACATAGGACCGTTTAATCAGACCAGTTTGAGAACCTCAAGTTAGCCCTCGGAGACTGGTGGACTCTGTAGACAGGTGGTGGCGCACTTTCGTTTTCCGAACTTAGTTACGCCAATTCAAGTATTGAATGCCCTGTAACTAACTCTGGCCGAGGACACAGCGCTCTTGCACATTTTCGATTGGCAAAAGTCATGCATCGGTCTGATAAGACATAGCTGTTGAAGAAGTGGCGAGTTAAGACCTACAGAGAAGGCGTATGAGACAAACACGGGTCGGGTGGAACTCTCAATCAAATGATGACGCAACTACCCGCCAGGAGCGGTATAGCAACATGAGGCCGACATTTCAATTTGGGGCTATTTTGCATATTGGGAAGGATGCCAATGAAAAGAGCGGACAACAGCATTGAATGAGCATCCCTCGATACAGTGCGCTATTGGTCCACGACAGAAAGTGCTGGCTTGTCAAATAGAGGTAGAAAGTCATGGCCTTTGGAGGAGATAACGGAAATGAAAGACCAGGATGGCGCCTGTCATGACACAGGGCGACAAACTTACATAGGATTTGTCTACAGCTTCCCGATTGCAAAAAGTAACGCCCCAGAAATATAAGTGAAGTGAAGCTAAGTCCGCATCTTTCAGAGAAAAACCATCATTTAAAAATGCAGACAACCATGGATTGGTAACATGTGCGTGAGATTCAGATGCCCGACAAAAGCTGTTAGGTGCTGCGGTAGCATATTTCTATCATAAAAACAGCTGCAAAGACTTCTTAGGTCTGGAGGCTCAGCTCGTGCCCAGTTTTCAGTTGTTTGACAACGTTGGTGGCTCGTTGGACTAGTAGCCGAAAACTGCCGCCTTGCACATCAACAGTGGGAACGACAGGTAGGTCCGGTCGGGTGAACTATGTTAATAAGGTTCAGGTCTCCCCTTTCGTTCATCGAGTATAGCCATGGAAGAATGGCAGTTTTCGGGGTGGTCTCATTTAAGCAAGATAATCATATGCGGCGGTACAAAAAGTCTACAAAGGTCCCCGAGTGGGTTACACAAAAACTTCGAGCTGGGCTCTACGTATAAGGGGAGTTCGGTAACATTGTTCGGGTTCCGACAAATTTGCGGGCTGCCATTCAGTCAGCGTCCCACAGCCGAAGATCTGCTAGTAACGAAACATCAGGGCAACCTGTAACTTTTAATCGCGGGTTCCTCCACCCCTTTTTACCTAGAAATGGGCTGAAAAGTCTGTAGTTGGGCTGGCATGGTAATACATTCAACCAGATGCAGTGTTCCGACGAACCAAGATCTTGAATGTCCGGTTACACCGACGTCCGAAAGCGTGCCTTAATGCAAACAATCGATGTCATCCACACCAACAATGCTCGACAAATTGGCGACTGGAAAGTGGAGGGTTACTATAGTTGTACTATTTCGACTTACAACATTAGGATTGCAAGGGCTGGGAAGTAAGTAAATTATGATCGCGGCATTGACCAACCAGCCTAGGCTATCGATACACCAGCCTATCGACGTCTTTGATATCACGAAAAGATAAAGTGCGTTTGACAAACAAGGACGCGATGGGACATGTCCCTTTTTACGGCGATAAACATAGACAATACTTTCAATAAATGTCTCCGACAATAACATGTGGCCTAGTCAGATCTTTTTATTTTTGTTAGAGACGTGATTATGGCTACAGCACTATGAAACTAGGACATCTACAAAGTCGACAACATAGCCCTTAAGGAAAACCTTAATTGGTATTGGTTGAAGAATTGCCGTAATATTTCTGGAAGGATATCCTGATCAGGATATCCTTCCAGAAATTTTTCTGCCTGGAAGTAAACGGTGAAGATATATATAAACGGTGCAGCAATATTTATATATGTATAAATATTGCTGAAACACTTCAAGTGGCAATGACGGTCTTACAGACTTGAGGAATCGTTTAACTATAATGTGCAAAAAGTCATAAGCGATTAAGCGATCAAGTTATAAGTGATTAAGAAGCGCCGTATGCGGACGAGTTTCAGAGCGGTGAACAGTGATTGGCTGATAGGAATATATATAAGATGATGTGGACGTCAAGTGTAGCACACACCAGAGTAAGGAAACGCCGAGAAGAGATCCTGGCGGAGGAAGACCTGAACAGAACTGTTAACATCTCTCGGAACTCGTTCACACGCAGAAGAAGAGAGTACGTCGAGTATGGATATAGTGTAATGGAACAACTGATATGTAGAATGTATATAACAAATGTTAATGTACACGAGCAACGAGGAACAGCGGATGGGTGACCTGTCTGGATGGATAGACGACACAGAGATACTAGCTAAACAGCCGGTGGGGATACAGCGCTGTGGGCAACTGCAGGGAAGGGCCGGGGGGAGCCGACGTTGAGTGAGAGAGCGAAAGAGAATCGAGAGCGACGGTTCGTTGCGGGAGGGGGGTCGGCGGCAGCGAGAGGAAGGGACACCGGCCGTCTTCGCCAGCAGACAGTTACGCCATCTCCATCCCAGGTCCGCGCGCCAAAAGTGTCACGACATTCAAACAACTCTGTTCGTACCAAGGGGCTTTACAAGTTTTCGAACACTCGCGTAGCGAATGATTAAAGAAGGCGATATGCGGACGGGTATTAGAGTGCTGAATAGTGACTGGTTGAACATTTTCACGCTAGCCGCGACGGCTTCTGGGAGTATTCTTGAATGTAAATTTTGGTAAATTGTGTTTGAATGGTACTTCCAGTAACTGAGAGACCCGGAGGAGGTCATTGAGGAAGTCGGTCAAGTAAGAATGTTGGTCAGGCAGGAGGTTATCATATAGCTACTCGAATCGACAATTTCACGCTACTCGCTCAAACTTTAGTTAGTATAGTTTGTTAGGCAGTTAGTTAGTTAGTCTAGTCTGTTTGTACAGTTAGTTAGTTAGTTGGTTATTTAGTTAGCTTGCTAGTTGACCAGAATAGTTAGTCAGGTAGTTAGATAGCATAGCAAGTTAGTTTGTCAGTATAGTAAGTTATTTACTTAGTTAGCTAGTTATAACTAGCTAACTATAGTTAGTATAGTCATGTAGTTAGTTTGTATTGTTAGTACAGTAAGTATATAGTCACTCGTTTTTAAGTTGTCCGCAGCTCACCTAAACTTTTGATTTCTCATGACTTTTGGCTTCCAGTGGTTTGTCCAGAAACGTCATCCGGTCTGATATGGCAATAAGGAGGTGCTTATCATTTAACATACATTATTGGTGAAATGTACGGCAAAAAATCGTTATTTACGATAGTCAGTTGAAAATGTCATTAGTGAAAGGAAATCTGCTATCATATTTTTACTCTGACTAACATATCCCTTTGCATATTTGAAGAAGAAGAAGAAGAAGAAGAAGAGTCGAGCACCGGAACAATTCGTTTATTATCCAGAGCTTTCAGACTCGTACAGGAGTCCATCGTCAGAGGTAGTGGCAGAAACAGGACGAGCGGCAGTTATAAGGCACGTAGACCCAATCATCATATCCCTTTGCGTTTCGAGCACGCTATAATTTGTCGTTTATTTGCTTTAACTAATTAACGTAGCATTCGGGCATTTTCTTTTTGGTTTTTGGGGGCGTGAATACAGTGTCGAAACACTTAAGACAACATTTCACTCCGTCTGCCTGTCTTATGGGAATGGTGGTAGGAAGGGTTGTACGGGTGGGTCTTCTAAAACCTGCCAAGCAGCAAGGAATATACTGCGCGATAAGTAAAAAGTTGCATTAACGCCAACATATGTTTAAATGTATCAAAAGAAGCTCATAACTGACCTTCAGACTGTGAACGCAGCCTATAAGATGGCTGGAAGTGACCTAGTCCATCATGCTTTAACGCTACTGGCCGGGTTAGAACGTAAATCGTATTGACCTGTGGGCTGACCCATCGGCAGGTGTGAGCGCGTGTGTTGTTCGTGCTGTGCAGGGTAAGTTCATGGCTGTGGTTTTGCCGTTTTCTTTGAAAAATACAAGAGCAGGGAGACATTGGATGCGCAATGGTGGTTAGGGTCAAAGGACGCCATTGTGCCGCTCACCGTACGCATACGATTTCCATGGCGGAAGGCCGAGCAAGGGTGGTAAGCAGTAGATTAGGTAAAGCAATTTCGCGAACTTTGCTGCGGCTATGAGCACTTTAGGACGGCGATGTGGTATGTAGCATGCTGTATTAAGAGGCATATCGAACCCCAGGAAAGAGTTAGCGGAGACTGTATAATGTGGGCATTTTAAAAAGATGATCACACTCAATCCTAACCTGCCTACACACTGGTTAATGAAGTAATCAACTGATGTAGTAGAAAAACGGTTAGGGCAGTATTTGGTTGGACGCAAGTAATAACCGTAAGGTAGGTCAGTCGAAAAAACTTGCTGACGACATGACGGCTATACGATTTAATTAAATAACAATACCAGACATTTAAGAATACATGGGACCGGTAT